ATCAGCCACCTGACTCTGGTGGATTAGTTGAACTATGTTGAGGAAGATCTGAGGTGGCCAAGTGCCTGCTCTCTCGACTGCCTTGGAGAAGTGCTTAGAAAAAAAAAGAAAAAAAAAAAAAAGAAAAAAAAAAAAAAAAAAAAAAAAAAAAAAAACAAAAAAAAAAAAACCAAAAAAAAAAAAAGAAAAAAAAAAAGAAAAAAAAAAAAAAAAAAAAAAAAAAAAAGAAAAAAACAAAAAAAAAAAAAAAAATAAGAAAAAAGAAAATAAAAAAAAAAAAAAAAAAAAAAAAAAAACAAAAAAAATAAAAGTAAAAAAAAAAAGAAAAAAAAAAAGAAAAAAAAAAAAGAAGAAAGAAAATAAAAGATCCTCCAGACCTTCTTTCGGAAGACGGCGCCACCAATTCGGGTTCTGCTGATCAGCCCCGACTCCTACGACTCCTTTGAAAGACTTCAGGGCCCCTAAAAGCTGCTGCATGGTGGGTTCATCCAGAGGCTCCCTGCTGGCCTCCCGAACGAAGTCCTCCCACCACCCAGCGGGACCTTCAAAAGCCTCCGAGCACCACAGGGACTCCCAAAACTGAGCCTTCTGGTCGATGGCCTCAATGGGGTCCCTTATGGTGCTACCATCGGGGCGCTTCTCTGGGGCGAGGTCGGGGATTTCCTCTCCCCACGATTTTGTCCAAGCATGGAGCGCGCCAGCGCCTTTGCTTAAAGAAGTGCGAACCCAGTCTTTAAAACTCTTCTGCTTGGATCTAACAAGGTAGAGCTCAACATTTTTCACCATGCGACCAAGATGTTTGAGCTCTCTCTTGCATCGATCTATTTGCTTGAAAGTGGCAAGCTGAGCGGTCAGGCGAAGCGTTCTTTCTTCTCTCTCATTGGACAAAAATCTGGTAAGAGACCAGACTTTGGCTAAACAGGACTCTACTGCCTGCCAGGCCTTCTCGATCTCCTCTGGGTGCTTCAGCTTCTCCCGCAAGTGTAGCCAGTCTGCTGCTCGAGCGTAGAGCGCTGCCCAAGCACTCAGGCCACTATATTCCGCTTGCCACCCCATCGCCGTAGTAGGAACCACAGGAACTTCCACAACTTCCACTGCCCAGCCTCGGTGTTGCTCGCTGTCGTTGAAGTCCTGATCGGGATTCCTGTGCGTGCAAAAGCTTTCTGCTGCCAAAGCGAACTTCATGTACTGTTGGGCCAAATCGTAGTTAGGCTTGCCACTGCAGTGCCTTTCACCCATGGAGTGGGTATTCGCCTGAAGTTTGTTCATGCCTTCTTGGATCTGCGGCTCAACTCTGACTGCGTGCCATTCCCAAGGTAAGTCTGGTCCAGGCAAACTCATGTCGATGGCAAGGCAAGGACTGAACACACGCTTGGGCATGGTGAACTCGCCAACTCTGAGCTTGAGCCGTATACCTGAATGCGGTGCCCCCCATGGCCCTTCACTGTCCCATGTGAGGTCCAACAGATTGTGTAGGTGGTGACTTACTAGGCAAAAATCAATGAGCCTGTGTCCACCTGGTACTGCTTCCTGGGGTCCTTTCCATCCTCCTCTGAGGAAAACTTGAAGCCCTGATTGTTGCATTTCGGCGATAGTGTTGTTCCAATCTCCAACAATAATGTATGGCTTACCTTGAACTTTGAGATAGTTGCCAACCTCATCTAGAATCTGAAAGTTAGATCCTGAAATCCCAAGATGTGGGGCCAAATAAACGGCGACGAAAATGATGTCCACCCGCTGCATCCTGACCGTTGTCGCGCACCATTGACTAATCTGATTGATCCCAGTCTGTTCTGTGATGCTTAGGCGGTCCTTCAAGATGAGCGGATCATGCCAAAGATGCTTCCTTGTAAGAATTGCAATGCCTCCATGTCCTTGAAGGCCTCCTCCTGCCGTGTCCACCGCAGGAGTAGCGTTGGTTTTCCAGCCAAGCTTCGCCACGTGCTTCGATGTTTGAATAAGCTTGGCATTCCGAAGATGAGTCTCGACAAAGAGTACCACTTTAGCCGTCTCAAGTGGACCGCCAGGTTTATTGAAATAATCGAAGGTCTTGTCATTCCAGGAAGTGATGTTCGCGAAATAGAAGTCAAACGAGTCTGACTGGGACACGCCCTTCTGCGACGAGGGAGATGGTGTTCGCGAGCCTGTGGGCTTTCCTCGGTCGTCTCCAGTGGGTCTCGCTCCGTGGGGGCTGCTGTGCGCCTCGCGCCACGGGGTCACCACCTTCTCAGACGCGCCAGTGGAAGCCCAAGGGGATGAAGTAGTCGCCCTCGATGGAAATGTGGCCCAGCGCGTACGTGTGGGCTCACCTCCGAGGTCTCCAGTGGGACTCGCTCCGTGGGGACTGCTATGAGCCGCGCGCCACGGGGTCACCACCTTCTCCGACTCTGGAAGGGATCCCAGGCCTGTTGGCATAGAAGATGGAGTAGCCCTCAACGCTGTCGCCGCAGTACCGCCCCCTGGTATGCCGTATTGTCCATCAAAGACGCTTGTCGACTGTCCCTGGTGGCGGCGATCGGCTTCGAAAGTCGGCCCTCCTGAGCCGCTCCATGCCAGCCTGGATGAAACGTTCACGCTGCTGCTCCTGACTGTCGAGACTTGGATCATCAGCCCGAGCAGACACAGCAGCCATGCCAACGTCTTGGGAGGTCGGCTGGCCTGCTTCCACAGGCGCCTGGGCCTGCGAAAATGGTGCGACGGTGCCTCCTGTGGCTGCTGCAGGGGTTCCTGCTCCCTCTGCGGCGCCAGCGATCGGAGGGACTCCCGATGCCGCACTGGCTGGCTGAGAGCCCATGGCCGAGAAAGCCGCTCCAAGCGTGGATTTGAACTGCCCCACACTCTCTTCGAGCTTCTTCTTCCTCGCCTCAACCCCGTCGGCACTTGCCAGCCCTTCGGCGAAGGAAGCCAAGAACTGAGTGAGCTGCTCGTCCATGCCCTGGATGGCCGCCTGCGCCTGCGCCGATGGGCTGCCCACCAAGGCCTTGGCTGCCTCAGCCTTGGCCGTCTCGAGCTGGGCCTTGGTCTCCAAGAGCTGTGTCTGAGTTTCGCCCACTGCCTGGAGTGCCCGCCGAGCTGCCTCGAGCTGTCGTTCTTCTTTCCGTTGCAATTCGACAAGCTTGTGTTGA